AAACGCAGAGACAGTCGGGTGGGAGTGTAGGTAGCCACTCTCATATGAACTTGGCAGCCTCTTTCTTGCTTGTCCAACAAGGAATCGGCTGGGGGGGTACCGGAGGTCGGAGAGGTGGAGGTAGTTCAGCCTCTGGCAGAAGTCGGTACATCCTCTGGACCCTCGAATCATGAACTCTATCCAGACCAAGTCTGCTTTTGTTGCATGTCTTTAGTCCGAGTCGGTGGCGAGCGCTGTCAGTGCTTTCCGTGGCCCGAAGTCGAAGCGGATGGTACTCATCTAGTCTTCGGATTCGTGCAGCAGTCTTGAGCTTGCGTTCCTCGAGCAGAATGTGTGCAGGTAGAATGCCAGTCTCCCTTCCCAGGGCTGCGATGGGCATGGTGCGCCAGGTTGGTAGAGCCACGCGAATTCCTAAGGCAGAAGTTTGATTAATAACTTTGCACTGTCTCTTACATGAATTTCGCGCGACACCCCGATATGTTTCCCTGGTTGGTCCCGGGTACCAGGATTCCGCTGCGTGCAACGCAATTGGCAGGACTACCGTGCGGATCACTGTGGTTAGTGGTCATTAATGTGGGACGAGGCATTTGTACTTCGCGGTAGTTAACCTGATCCGGCCCGGCCCCACCCGTGCTTAAGCTCCAGTAGGAGTGCAACGGTAGTCGCTTTAGCTAGCACGATCATGAACAAACCAAACCAAACCGGATCGTCAAGAACTCATTTATTGTGTACGGGCATGACGTAAATCACTATAGATTAAACATAGAGTTCGAATCCATTTGTCTGGTTTGGCGCGCAATGGGTCTTTTTTTTTTTGATCAGATTTTAATTGCGTATGCAGCTTTCTAGCTATGACACAGCATCAAAGAAGAGTGCAGAATAGATGGCTCAATTTACAAGAGGAGCACCCATGCCTCGGATTTCATTTACAAATACCACTGCGAAGTTATGGCAGCTTTTTCTTTACCCCAAGTCAGCCCTCATCCGTGAATACCTACCCAGGGGAACGTCTCAAAAACCCTGAGTTATCCAGACATGCCTCCGTCATCCATCAACTTTTCTCCACGCGAAATGTAATCTGAGATGTCTTCTTCCCAAGTGGAGTAGGTGCCCAGGCTACTCAAACTATACCGGAGAACACCACCAGGAGGCGGACCACAACACCTTACATCGTCGGCTTGTTTTTACAGTGTCAGCTGCACTCTCGCAAGCGAAGTCTTGGCGCGCACAAAGCTCAATTCGTAAAACTCCTTGCCAAAATTCGAAATTTCAAGCCCGTCGAAAACGTATCCCTCTTCTGCATCATCTTGTAAACTTGTCCTGATCCCTCTCACTTCCATCCCAAAGAACTGCCCCCCAGATTTGTGCGCCACGCTTTGCTTCCTCCGTCGGATATAAATATCGGCGTGGGCGTGTATTTGGTGACCGGCTGAGGCCAGAGAAAGTCGACGAGAGGTGTGGTCATTGAAACAAGGATGTACTATGTCGTACTTGTAGACTTGATGAAGCTTAGTTGAGGATCGGACTCTTTGGGAGTGAAAGATTGACATGGTGGAGTAATTTGAAATTTTGCCTCGTGGGCCAACTTGTTCGGTATTGCGAAATTTGACTGAACTTGGCTCTGGGAGAATATTTCACTCCCAGGTTCGTAGAGGACACCGCGCACAGGTGTTCAGTCTTTCCCTCCGCGCAATGGGTCTGGATTGTCTTCTGCTAGAAGCCGGAGTAATTGTGGCCATCAAGTAGGTGTGAGGAAATTCTGCTTAGTCAGCTGGTTGGTCAAGTGAAAGGTGCCCACATCCCTAGTACATAGCACATCTTTATCACCCATACTTCTAGTACTGTATCTACACATTCTCCACATATTGCACATTGCCATCCGTACAACTCCAATCTCGTGACTATTCTCTCTCAATATCCCAACAGTAGGCCAGGTTAATGATACACAAGTGACTACAAACTCCGTACTTAGTTTCACTTCGTTAGTTACTTGAATCAATGCGCTCTACGACATCAATGACTGAGGGGTCATTATTTCTTTAATATTATCTGTTTTATTTTCTAATTTACTTAGGAGAAAACCCTGTATTAACGTCTCGCAAAACCCCTCCATTTGGAGTCCTTGATTTTCCGACATGTCCTCTAGAATGCAAAGTGAAACTGTAGTGCCGTCCATGTTATCCAATCACATGTTCTCAATGGACCCTAGGATACGAGGGCCCAGTTTCTTTCTTACGGCAGTATCTTACCTGCCTTTGATGGGGAACAGAGACTGGGCACTTTTCCGTCATGTCCTTTGGAAACTTGCGAGTGAAATTTTCTCTCAGCGTCGAGTTCAGTCAAATTCCGTAATACCATAGAAGCTGGACCACTGTGGAAACTCGAGGGTCAAGAGACAATTGGCAAGTGGCGAGTGGTCAAAAACTGACGTGGTCTCAAATTATGAGATTTATCAAGGAAATTGTTATGGCTCAGTATGACTGCTACTCAGTATAATGACTTGTAGTTGTGGCTATACCACTGTGCCATAAACACTGGCCCGAACTGTGGAGGCCTTATCATATCAGGCGCCGACATTTAGTTGAGTCACGCTAGGCTGTACAGTTGTACTTAGTTAGGTGTAAGATGTAGCTTTAGTTCTGTAGTTTTGCAATCTGTATTATTAGTCCACAAGCTATTCTTGTCCCCGTCCGTTCTGATATACTCTCGTGCAACATCAGCCAGTTCCCAACCTCGAAGACGGCTATCTCTTCACATACCAGCCGTAACAGAAATAATGACTCATCAGTCGTTGATGTTGTAGAGCGCATTGATTCAAGTAACTGACGAAGTGAAACTAAGTACGGAGTTTGTAGTCACGTGTCTATCAATAACCTGGCCTACTTGATAGCCCCAGTTATTCTAAATTCTAACAGAATAGGATATTGGAAAGTGTAGTTTCGCTCTGTAATGTCTGCAGGGCTTCTCCGTTACTGGGTTATCATGAGGATGATTTAGCCGATTTTGTGAACATTGTATTTCCCGTGCTGAGCTAAAAGAAGACAATTGTCATCCGAGAATAACTTTCACTTTAGAACCTTTCATTTTGCACTGCATGAACCTTACATGTGCGTATGACAAAGCCGATTGACGCTGGGTTAATTTCTAAGAGTTAGCCTCTGTACAATGAGAGAGTGCGAGCTTGTCATAATTATGAGTGATATGAAAGCTTATACTGTCATGGCGAGACATTCTGGAACCAGAGCCTAAGCAGAATGCCTGAGGATAAAGTTCACGGAACAGGTTTTCCGGCTCACCCTCAACACTTGCACTTATATGGCGAGACTAGATAATGCGCCAACTGGAATTGACATTGTTGAGGTCACAGTTTGAGTTATGATGGGAAATTACAACAGCCTTAGTTGAATTGTGTCAGATAGTTATTTGTACTAAGGAAGCTGGAGCTACAACAAAGTAGTTCTCCAGCTTCACAATCTTATAATATTATTACAGTATTCCTCTCGCAAACCCGCTTCCTTCTAGCCAGAGTACTTTGTCGACTTTCCATCTCTATAGTATTCACCACTTGACCTCTCCATACCCTCGGCGAACGGCGATCTCGATCTAACCCACGGCACATCGTAACATATACAGCGAATCGTAAAAAGATGTCACGTCTGTGGTCCAAAAAATCATGGAGATATAATTCAGTTTCTCTAGTACAGGGAGAGATTTGGCGCGCGTGCGCGATATGTTTGTAATTCACTTGGCGCACCTCTATGTGACGCTAACGTGCTCTCATGTAGCCGAGTCTGGACAGCCCAAGACCTGTGTGCTAGGGCTGGAGCGCCTCTCGCGGCCATCAAATGAAGTTGATTTTATTAATTTCTTGGAAACAGAGACTGCCCGTCCGAAATTTGCTCTTAATTCGCTGCAAGCGCAGTCGAGGTAAAAGCTTGGAAGTGCGCATCATCGGAGCCCCTACTGAAAGATGAGCTGAATTTGAGGTGCGAGTGGAGTATTTCTGCCCTCTACTTCAGTGCCTCAGGCCGTAGAAAGTGAGGTTGAGGGTTGGATTTGTTTCATTCATAGTGTCGTCTAGCCTCGTCTGCATCGATATTTATGGCGGTGGACAGCTGCTCCCGTTTCGCTGGTGGTCAATCTCGGCAGATTGATTTTGTTTAAAATTAACGTCGTGCCTGTCCACAGCTCGTGACCTTCGTCACGCACTGGACGGCCCAGTCCCTACAGAACTACCCGACGCTATCTCGGTAGATTGAGTTTTTGGCACATTTTGTAAATAGATGCCCCCTACATGTGACTCGGCTGGGGACAAGTTAAGTTTAGCCAGATCCACAATTACCTATGTTTGTTAATTACCATCATAGTTAAATCATACAGTTGTTCGATTGCTAAGTGACACTGAGGCGCCCAGACCGAACAAGCTACGCAATAGCAGGAGGCTAGCTCTGGGCGCACATGTATTTCCCCAGACTTGTAACTACTCAGACAATGTGCTCACAATTTACGGTGCTTTCTTTTCGTGTAGTCGCTCGTAATTATTGTCCCTCAACACCCTTGTTTGCGAACTATTTATTGGGTGAGGCCATAAGCCTCGACGAATTCCTCATATAAAAGCTGTTTTTGTACAGTAGAAGCTACTTTATACTCGCTGGTGCAAGTTACGCGGCCTGCTATGACGAATTTCATTCTTCTCATCTTCCAGCCGTACATTTCCACGAAGGAGAATATTCAAAAAAAACTACCTGCTGCCAGAACCATCTCATCTTAAGTAGTAAAAATATCCGAGCTTAAATATGCCACAGAAGTCAAACGAATGCAAGTAAGATAAGAGTTATTATGGGTAAGGGAAACCTTACAGCTTCTGCCTGAACTTTTTTTGGTTTTGCCACAGGCATGCAGGGGAATAAGATCGTATTAAAAACTTTACTCTTATCTTGTAGCTTTGGGGAAAGGCAATGGGCTAGCCCGAGTGTTCACAAATTCATCTCGACTCATCTTTACCCGCTTTCAACTCCTCCCAGGCTCCCTGGGCCGTAGCATCGAGCCAGAGGAAGCGTATCACCCACACAAAGTCCAATAACGCCCTCTACCCATTTCAAGTTGAAATAATCTCTACTCTGATAAGTGTGGCTCACAAATTCCGTCCGCTCAGCCTGACCTATACAGCCCACGTCCACATGGCCCTCATGTACTGTGGTCAAAGGGTTACTGACGATTGCCCCATACTTTCCTGCTGGTACTTCGAAACTAAAAGTCGTTGAATGTGATGTACTCCAGCTGCCATCGGAAGAGGTACTGAAGGCGTCTGCTAAGAATTTTTCTATTAGCTTGGTTGTAGTAGAAGAAGAGGCGCTAAGTTTCGATGTGATCCAGTGGCCCTCCTCAACGTTGATTGAGATGCTATTGTTTGGTGGCGCCTTGACGACGCTTGACATGAGGACATCCCAGCCGACGAATGTGTGCGCTGGATTCAAAGCCCATACGGTTTCTTTTGAACATCGAGAGGTAATAGTTCGGCTGGGCTTGTTTTCGGCGCTATCTAAGCTCGGAGTGGAAACATTGAAAATGTGTTGCTCCTCCGTGGCAAGTGGCAGGCTTTTCGCGTAGCGTACGAATTCAGTCCGAGGAACTACATCCACTTGGCCATTAAGACCGAAGAAAATAGCATCGTCCTGAGTTAAACTGCGTTCGAGTGGGGAAAGCGGCAAGGTTGTGGCTATCACAATGGTAATTGAAGTACCAATTTTAAAGAGCATGCTGGCGCGCATGTTGATTTCAAGGCAGAAATTATGCTCAATTATTCAAAATTATAGCGATGAGCTTTTGTCCCGGATGATTGTTAGAGGTTTCGCGATAAAAATAGCTGAAATATTAGGTGGATTAAGGTGATGAATCAATTAATATTTCAAAGAGTATGCATTGATAGAATAATAGAGGTCCGGTTCAAAAAGATGTCGACCAAGGTTGTACAGATACATCAAATCAGCATGGTGTTGGAAATGTACCATACTAATACTGAAGATATTTACACTCCAACAGTGATGACCTCAGCCGCTAATTTAATGTAAACTTTCACCTCAAATACACTCAAATGGGGTTGAAATATATGGGTTATGGCACGCAGGATTCAGTGCAGCCTTTAGCCATGAGTCGTGAATAAAAAGCTAAACAGCTTAGTGGCGTGGGTCGCGGAAGGAGGTGAGCGGCACAGTGTTGCAGACGAAGAAATCTTGGAGGAATTATACAGGATGTAGACTCAACTCCGACCTAACGACCGGGGCGAGTGGGGAGTCGGGCTTTTAGGGCCGACAGTTACCTTGAGCGTTTGCGACTCACACCACGACATGCTACGAAGCAACATGCCGTACCCCCGAACAATCCCATGTCGCCCCAGTCCACACATGAGAATCTCCGAAAACTCCACTATTCTCGAGCTGCTAGACTTTGATTAATTTGCGCAGGTGTGGTCGGCGTAGCCCCGCCATGTTGTTTGCCCAAGCCTCCAAACTGCTGAAACACTATCATGCTGGTGATAATTTTAGATTGTAAACATATACATGCATAACCATGTCTATCCCAAGCTACCTCGACTTTGATTCCTTATATTCATCCAAGTTGGTGCTCAACTGACCCATCCACCACTGTATTAGTTGTTGTTTTTTCTTCCACATTCATTGCCTTCTCTCTTTCAAATCCCTAAACATGAAGCTAATTTTGTTCATGAATCTCTTCTCTCTGTCTACAGCGTAAGAGCCAGACATAAAATCATACTGGCTACCTCTAACCACTTTTAATAGATTTTGGCTATTTAAAATCTTCCAGAAAAAAAACACAATCTCAGCCCAATGTGTCAACGAAGTCAATAAGCAGGTGGGTTTATAGGCCTAGTGCTTCGGCCCAATGGAAAGTATACCCGCCGTAAAAAGAAGCTAAGGGTATTGGACGAGTAGAACTTCATGAACCATGTGGCAACACAGAACGCGTGTACGACGTATGCGAAAAATGGTTGTTCTGATTGTATTGTGGTAATGTTTTTCGCTTTTGATACATTTCTCAGTTTAACAAAATATTTCCTACCAGCCCGAAAACTCGACGCATTGTTTCTCCGGCCAAAGTCTAATTATCAAGGCTCAAGTAAGTTGGATGTGCTTGATAGGCATCTTCCCCATGCGCAAAGGACGAGACGAATAACACGTGTGTAGTTCCTAAATTATTGCACAATGAGTGGTGCCTCAAAATCGCTAGACAACTGAAAGTTCCTCTCGAGACATCTCGACGACACAGCATTTATCAGTATGCTGCCTCATGCTGAAGACACGACTGTTCACACTGATGTTGATGGAATCATTCAACTCGTAAAAAGCTCGCATCTAAAATTACAAAGGCCCTACGATCAGCAGGAGAGCTCGTCGCCTTATCATTTCTCGGGTCCGTTGCCGGCTTTCTTCCAATCAAAATGAGGACCAATGAGATATTTAGCTGAGGCTTCACTGAATCAACAACCTGAGATGTCTCGGCATTTTTCGCTGGGTAGAGTGGCCGGGCCTCGTAATTTTGGGAGTTCCATTTAATCACGGGACGCATCTATTTAATTTCTGATAAAGACCCGTCCATAACTGTAATTAAATCGAGATGTTAACTTAATGAACCTATCACTGTGTACAAATTTTGTATGGACAACACATCTCACGAATTTTGCGTATTTACAATCGTACGGGGTAATATCATATATGTGTGGGTCATGTTAATCGATAATCGGTGCTCACTCGAAGCGTTCTTTGTTACGTACTTGGCCCTATCTTTCATAGCTAGAGGGATGTTTCAAGACTAAACCAACGCGCTGGGCTAATTTGTAAAGCTCCATGTCTTGAGTGGGATGGGGCAGCGAGTGTTTGTGGTTATCCATAAAGCAGAATTTATGTCTGTTATTTAATTAACGTTGTGCTTGGTCACAACGCAATAGTAAGGTGCCGTACTAGTCACTTAGCCCTTGAAGGCTGCCCGACATATGATAAATGGGCCAGGGCCATCCTGCCATGCACCATTTGCTATCAAAAGTCGCGAGACCTACAACATACAATTCATTCAAATCATTTAACCTGTTTTCGGCTTCCTAGCTATGTCACATGATCAGTGCTATGTAAACTTGTGGGATGAGTCGTTTGGCAGCAGACACACTCATACCCCGAATCATTTTTTTCATCTAATTAAAGCTGGCTCCAACAAGAGATCTATCCACAGTTAATAAATCCCCATCAATTCTCCTCCCTCGAAATCCGCTAAAAAGCTATCACTTTTCTCTTTGTCATTGGTAGATGTTAGACATTAGGAAGTATCTTAGATTTACTGGGTGTACGGATCATATTTAGTTACATTAGGTCCCATAATGGAGTACTATAAATTAGCTAGTTGAACGCACGGTCCACTAAGAGAAGTGATAAGAGTGGGTGGGTGGTTGTTTATTGCCCTAAAAAGTCTATAACTACATAAGGACATGTAGGTCCTTTCTGCTTACAGGCCGGGAGTATTAGGGAAGTGATTACTTCTGGGGACCGATGCTCGGAAGAAAGAATCAAGTTGTTGATGCCCGTAAATATTTTCCACCTACTACAGGACAGCTTTCCCAGTTTCCTAACAGTACAATCCGAGCCAGCCTTGCGCTCGGCACTCCCAAAAATGTGGGATAATTACCACGCACAACCGCCTTCCTGTAGTAGCGATCCTCATTTGGCTGGCACAGATTATGATGCTATTTGGAAATCTAGACATGGTATCTATGAGGGCTTGGATTTCTAGGTATGATCGCCGAGATCAATTAGATTGATTCGATTGGTGTCAGTAAAACACGATCTAATACACATCGGGTGGCATCATTAAGTCGGTGAATAAAGTAAATTAATTGGCATCTCGAAATACAAATGTTGTTGCCTCTTTCCGTCCTCCCTCTTCCTCTACTCCAAGCGCCTTGCTAATGAGCTTGTTGTGATACACAGTACCTGTGGGTGCGTATGAGCTATGAGGTGGAGGGCAAGACTGAACACCTGTCAGTGGTGCCCTCTACGAACCTGGGAGTGAAATATTCTCCCAGAGCCAAGTTCAGTCAAATTTCGCAATACCGAACAAGTTGGCCCACGAGACAACAATTCAAATAACTCCACCACGTCAAATTGTCATTCCAAAAAAGATCGAATCCTACCTAAGTCTCATTAAGTCTACAAGTATGACCTAGTGCATCCTTGTTTCAATGACCACACCTCTCGTCGACTTTCTCTGGCCTTAGCTGGTCGCCAGATACACGCCCACGCCGATATTTACACCCGACGGAGGAAGCAAAGCGTGGCGCACATATCTGGGAGAACGTTCTTTGGAATGGGCATTAGAGGAATTTGGACAAATTGATAAAATGAAGCAGAGAATGGAAACAGTCTCGACCGGTGTGAAATTTCTAATTTTGGCAAGGAGTTTTTACAAAGTGAGCTTTGTGCCTAACAAGTCTTCGGTTGCGAAAGTGCAGGCGACACTGTAGATACCGCCATGGTTGGATGGTGCGGTGGTACATCGTCTTGGCTGGTCTGCCATGTAGAGTCTGGATAGCTTGGACACATATATCACTCGAGACAGTATATTGCTGGTTCAAATCCGGCAAAACACAATCACTTTTCTCGCGGCGCTGGTATACATGGATGACGAAGATATGTTTGGATAATCAAAGGTTTTGAAATTCCCTTTGGTGGGTACTTACGGATGAGGGTCAACTGTTTGTGTAAGCAAACATGCCTCATATTAGTATTTTCGAATGAAATCCAGAATATGAGTGTCTCTAACGTCAAAAGAGTCATCCTACATGTATACATAGCACTGGTCATGTGTCATAGCTCCATAGCTGAATACACTTAAATGGTTTAAAATAAAAAAGAGCTGTGAGGTGTTACATGTACCAAGTCGAGTGTGGTCAGTAAGGCACGTGCAGGGTATAATGTGCACTTCTCTTGCAGACATGGCATTTACAGTGAACGTCTCTTTCATATATATTGTAAGGATTCTTGAGAAATGCCTCAGGCAGGATTTATGGGCTCCTTGTTTAATCCCACTAGTCTTTATTGCTTAGCAAGGGCACCTATGTAGTTTCCATTTCCGAGACTGAGATCTTCACGCTTTGTTTTCTGTCTTTAGGAATAGTTACATTATTCTAATCACATCTCACTCTCGTCCGCTGCCAAACATACTGACCTACCGTCACCTCCAGCCCCTCTATCTAGAACGACTCCCCGCTTTCCCATTTACCACTTCTCTAGAAAGCCCTCCGCGCTACCACGAGGCGTCCTTCCTCAGTACATCCTACGCCACGCCCTCTCCTACGCCTCGAGTCCTGCGCCTAGTGAACCTGCGCCTGACATTACAAAGCGTCAATATAAAATTATAAAATAAATCCCGTACTCCCATGTCTAACCCGTTCTCGCCACCAAGCGAGTACATGGATGCCACTGAATCAGAGATTACAATACTTCCTCCTGAGCTATGGAGTATTGCCCACCTAAACGCCCCTGGTGTTCTGGCTCTCGCAGTTAACATCGACTCTTTGCGCGTCGCGGAAATATACGCGACAGCCTCGAGTTTTTCCCTCAACCCTACTGCCGTCACTTCGCTTCCCTCTCGAACCCCAACTCCTACACACCGCCCCTCGGCCCCCTCAATTACACCATTTAACGGCGAATCAGATAATTTGAGGTCCTTCTGCTTCCAATTGCAGAACCAATTCATAGATCAAGCCGAATGTTTTCCAAACGAAGGCTCGAAAGTTCGATATGCCTATCGCTGTCTTGGGCCTGCGGCCCTGTCCAAAATGCGAACAGCGTTCCGTTGTTACGAGGACCCAACAATACCCTCGGAGATAAATTCAATTGAACAATTTTATGATGCTCTCCGACAACGTTGTCAGGATCCGGGCCTAACAGAAACAGCTAGTCGGATGGTGGAAACTTTGTACCAGCAAGATATGAGTTTTCATGAATTTATATCTCTTTCGAAGACAACCTCGCTGACTCAACCTATTCCAGTCATGATAAGTCCCAATGGAAGTCAATGCTCGAACGCCGATTGTCCAAGGAGCTCAGAACATTGCTAAACTCGGCCAGTGATGTTCCCACGGAATATCACGAATTTGTCATCTATCTGCGAAAGAAGGACGCAAACATACAGGTAATTAATGCGCCCGTACAAGCCTTCCATAATACACGACAATTCGTCACTCCTGCTCCCGCTCCCGCTCTTCTCCCCTTCCAATCACCAAATATAACCGCAGCGTTCAAACCCACCGTATCTCAGGGTGGGTTAAGAATGGACCTAGATGCTGTTCCCAGCAAAGACAGCCCGGGGACCGGTTAACTCAACAGGCAAAAGATGCTCGAAGGCTACTCGGCCGGTGCATACGTTGTAACAGATCTGACCATGCCACTCTGAACTGCCCGCTCCCAGCACGTAACATGGCATACCCAGGGCCACAACTTAATAGGCCAGGAACAGTTAAAAGATTAAGTCCAACAACAATTCGCTCTCTGGAGTCTTATTCAGTAGTACACTTGGGCTGTTCTGGAATTTCTTCTTCTCGTCACATGTATGTAAATGCTAGGATAAAAAATGAAAATTTAGTTGCTCTCGTCGACACTGGCGCCTCTGGTTTTGCTTTTGTGTCTTCTCAAACTGCTCAACACCTCAAGCTCACCTTCCAAACCTTGAAATCGCCAATTGCTATCCTAGGATTCGAGGGTAAGTTAAGTTCGAAGATATCAAGTTTTGTAGAGTTTCCCCTAAGCCTCGGTAACCACCAAGAAACCGTAACAGCATACGTCGTTCCAAATTGTAAGCACGATATTGTACTCGGTCTACCCTGGCTAGAGAAGCACTGTCCCTATGTTGATTGGAAGGACCATTCAATCACTTTCGGTGAACCGTGTCTAGAGTCTTCTTGCTGCCTTTTCGAGACGACCATTTCCTACCACAACACAGCGGATCAGACTCTCGAACATGTGAACAAGCCGGGACCTAAAATAGAACGCCCACTAGTTGCTCCCGATGGTCAAACTCAACCCAGGCAAATATCTGCTCATGCTTTCACCCTAGCCAGTCAACAACCAGGGAGCAGTACCTTCGCCTTCAGCCTCCGAGACCTTGACCTAATGCTAGAAGATTCAACACAACGCCTCCCCAGTTTACGTATAGGAAACGCGTCCATGATTGTCCCAAAAGATGCTGA